AGTTTATTTTTTAAATTCTTGATAGAATATAAAAACTCGTACTTATTTCACAATTACTTCCAGTATACATATTCAGACAGCTGCAAGTGTAGCCATTCACGCCATCTTCACAAGACCCTTCATTCTGACATGGAGTAGAATCACATTCGTCAATATCTGAAAATGACATTATAAGATTTAGCAAATAATGATTAAAATTGATGAAAATACAGCTATATGGACAAATCCCTTTATAACATTTATGATGCGTATTAAGTTGTTGTATATTCAGATACATATAATATGAATGTAGGCTACATACGATTATTTATTTGTATAAATTGGAATGCTTAATGCTTAATATACCTGTTTTTAAATACCGTAGCGCATATCGTATTAATTCAAATAAATGCCCCGGGGTTTTTGTTGAGAGGGGTTTTCGAGGCGGTGTTTTTCGAGGGAAGTGTTTTTTTGAGTGTAAAATTAATGCATATCTCAAATGAACGTCCCCTTAATTTCACTGTAAATGTGGGACTACAACACATGTTACCGTCAAAATATTGTGTAATGAAAGAGACTTACTGATCCCAAACAGGGTAGAAAGTGTAATTCTACTGGAGTAAACACATTATTAGAATGTACTTGTGTTGAGAATGATATTGCGTCCATTAGATTTGTTTGTAGTTATTTATATAGGGTTTATTCGATGAGGCGTTTATTCCAAATAAGGCTCCAGAGGGGCATTTATTCAAGCGGGGCGTTTGTTCAAGTAAATGCGGTATATTATAATGTATATTTTTATTTGCCTTTTTATTATATAGGCCTACTCCGTTTAAATTACTCACTATTTTCGCAATGTCTCCCTGTATAACCTTCTTCACACTGGCATACGTAACCCTGCAGTGAGTCGTCGACGCACGAGCCGTGTAAACACGGACTGTCTGAGCAACTAAGTACTTTGGGAAATACAAAAACATTACACTATCAGTATTAATAGATAATTATTTTGCAGTGTAGACCATAGAATGAGTTCCAGTTCCCAAACGTAGTAAATCAGTGAAAATGCTTAAAAATAAATCGATTTTGGCATCAATGGCGTTCCATATTACTATGTAGCCCACCACTGCTCCGGTGTCCCAGATAGTCACCCCATATTTCAACTACCAATAGAACATTCCATCTTTTAAATCATGAAAATGTTCTTCAATACAAGAATAATAACACATGTCTACCTTTCTCACGAATTGAATAGTCCATATACTTTCAACCAATGAACACGTTGTATTAGATGGAGGCATGCAATTAGATAGACCAAAATGAAGAATAATGCAAATATGAATAGTTTGCTATTATGCCTAAATGTTGTAATACACACTATCAAGTGATCGTAAATCCACTAATCTAATGACAATGATCTAGACAACATAAGTGTGTTCAAATGGTCTAATTACATCAAAATACCTGTTGGACAGCTTACAAAAACATCGTTTGGTCTGCTTGCTGCTACACCATTAAACATCATTGGTTCTGAAAACATTATTGTTAACAAACTTGTTACCGGCATTTAGTTATTGTATTTAAGTAACAAATATCAATTGTCATGGGCGGATCCAAAAGGTTTCTGCCATGGTATGGAGGTGGGGGTGGTGAAGTGCCAATCAAAATCAAAGAACTGCCAAGGGCGGATCCAGTCATCT